TGGAGGGAGATGTTGATTTGAACTGAGCCCAGAAGTCCAGCCCTGGGACAGGAGGGTGCATTTGGCTGGGGTTTGCTGTCTCCAGTGCTCCTACTCCAACTTATTTGGCCCAGACATCCTGCTCAGCGAGAATCTTTCTCCTGTTCCAGGTTGTTCTGATCCTGATCGAGAGTGTGGCCCAGAGCAGCACTGATTCACCGTGGGGACGTGAGGATTTGGTGGTGTCCATGTCCAACTGTCTGATTCAGGATCTATTGAAGACCCTCAGGGTTGGAGGGCTTTGCCTGCCCTACAGGGAAGCTGCCACTCCGGTAGCCTCCTCATACCTTAGCAGGGAGGCTGATTTCTCTTCCAGCATTGCTCTGCTCCCACCTGGAACCCTCTCTCCATGGCTGCCCAGTCCCAAACACTCAGTGACTTTAGGTCAGTGACCCATCTCCCTTTTATTTTATTTATTTATTTATTTATTTATTTATTTTGGTTTTTCTCTGGTACCGGGAACCGAACTCACAACCTTGCGCTTGCCAGGCAGGCGCTTTTGCCGCTGAGCTAAATCCCCAGCACCCCCATCTCCCTTTTAAATGCAGGTGCTGTAGGCCATAAATGTTCATGAGGCTGCTATAGCCATTTTTTAAAAACTAGCAGCCCTAACTATTCCTCTACTGCTCAGGAACCTCCAGTGAATTCCATCTGTGAAATTCAATCTTACCTCCTCTGTCTGGCAGCCGGAGCCAACTCCTGTCCAGCTTTCTAGGCTGCATACCACCCTGCAGATCTTTGACTCCCACCTTGAACTCTGGGCAGCCAGAACCACCTGTAGATGCCTCCTTTGTGGTGCTCCCTGGATCTGAACTGCCCTACCTCAGCTTCCCATGTGTGCCTCCAAACCCACCTCAGTGCTCTCTCCTCCTAGAAGCCTTGGCTTGTAAACAGATGACCTTCCTCTGTACTCACCTGCTGCCATGCTCTGGGGAGCTCCTCCCTGACACTCCCTGCCTCCTGGCTAGCTCTTTATTCAGGAGAACTCTCCAGCATTGTTTATCAGGGTCCTCTCTGTACCATGGTTTCCTGGATTAGTCGAATGGTTCTGAACACTCATTGGTGCAAAGTGTGAGAGATATTTCTGGCTATTGGATACTAAAGTGAACAAGACTTAGTCCCTGATTCTGCTGAGCTTGAGTTTCCTTGAATTCCAAGGATACAGCCTGATTAAGTTTTTAGAGTGAGCACATCCGTGAGATAACCAGCAGATCCAGCCAGACAGAGCATGACCAGTAACCCTAAATCTCTTCCACGGCCTCTCCTGGTTGCTCTGAATATTTACTATTTGAAAGAAAAGACACTTAGGGTCAGGATTCCAAGCTGATACCTTAAGCTAATTGCCAAATATATTAAGTAGATGAAGTAGGATTCCCAGGATGCTTCTCAGCCTGCAGTCAGGTGGATTCCATGATATTGACTGCAGCCCCAGGTTCAGCACAGCAAGATCAGTTATGTGGAGTTCAATGAACTGATGAGGTTATGTGTTGAGGTAACCGTTTATGTTATTTTTGATGTGTATTTGTTATGGATCTATGAAAGAAGACTTCTTCTCAAGCTATCTCTAACATAAATTAAGTAAATTGCTTTTTTTGTAAAGTAAGATAATTTTTTTTTCCAGTGTGAAGAATTGAACCCAGGGCTTCATGCCCAGTAGGCAAATCCTGCACCATTTAATTATATCTCGAGGTCAAAACGAATCAGCTTTAACTCTTTAACTTTAGCTGATTTTCACTTGAACACTGAATTCAGAATCTCAAATTGGTCTCTGTAGTTTTCATAACAACATAGTTATTAGCATACCTTGAATAGAATATACTTTTTAATAAAGATATCCTTGATCACATTGATCACATAACCGAGGCCATACTTTAAAATGAGTATCTTGTAATCAGGCATAGTGAACTGAGGGCTAGCTTTCCTTGAGAAGCCCATTTGTATAAAGCTTTCCCAGGGATGTCAGCCTGGTATCTGTTCTGCAAGAATCCAAACTTACAGCTGGCAAGGATAGTCCCTCCCCAGGCAGGGAAATCTCAGCAAATTTGGGACCCTCAATTAACAGGTGGTCTGAACCATATTTAGATGCTGTGACTAAAACACAAAAAGAATTTCTTGGGCTTGGTTTTTCAGCTTCACTGCAGCAAATGACAATGTATTTTAAAAGTCCAAAGTGGTATTTCTTACTAAAATTTCTGCTAAAATTTAATTCTATGCCTCTAGATTTGCAAAGCAAACTCAAGGAATCCTCTATGGGTAAGATTCTTATTACACCTATTTAAACAATAAGGCCAGACATAACATAGCCACCTTTTCTCCATTAAATACAGTCTTTGGAACTGAAGATCACAAAGGAGAGATATGTTCGAAAAAGGCATCTAAGACTTGCACAAGGGCAGAGGGGATTACTCAGAGGCTCTCTCTACAGTGCAGGAAGTTGTCTAGCAATCTCAGGGGGTTGTCTGACTTTATAGGGCTGTGGTTCCTTTGCCTGACTTTCTCTGGACTGAGGGTAGTGCAGCTCTGCAGGTTTTACTGTTAAATTACAGAAAATTAGGAGCAATGCAAATGATTATTTCCCACAGCAATGCAAATGAGTCCTACCTAATTCATAATATTAAATGAAATTTGTTCAGATTTTCTTTGGAACCAGACCTGATATTATACTGATTCCTTCACAAATTGATGAGTGTGGTGAAATCTTTCACTTGTGTCCATTTCATAACCGTAAAGGAAAAGATGCATAAATTTATCTGCATTAAATTAAGAATTGTTCTTATCAAAAATAATTTCTGTTTTATTCTACTCTATCTAACAAAAGAGAGCAAATAGAATATACTTCAGCAATAAAATTAAAGCAAAATGAATAAATGTCCAAGAACTTACTGTTAAGTGACTAAAATAATAACTTATTTAATACTTACTGAATAACTCAACACCAAATATGGGAATAAATACATTAATTTAAGATTTTATGTATACTTAAAAATTAATAAAAGCAATTTAAAAATTTAAACCTGAAAGCATAGATCCTGGAAGAATCTCAGGTCCAAGGTAATGGATGACTTTCTTCCTTTTGTTTGTTTCTGTTTCATCACATTTTAAAACTAAACATGTACTACTCTTATAACAAAGAAAACAAATAATAAATTCATTGAAGATATTTCCCATGCATGTAACTGAGAAAATATCTATGTCAAAATGTGTAATAGACTATAAATCAAGGAAAGGCAGACAATACTTGCTATTTGTTTCTCATTATGATAAGCCCTTTATATTTATTACCTTTCTTAATCCTTCTGACAGCATTGGAAGGAATATACTATTCCCCCCATTTACAGCTGAGGAAATTGAGACTCATGAAGATTAGGTAACTTGCCTGTCTTACTGAGTTAATAAAGGACAGAGCTGAAATTGGACCCTGAGTTCTGATTACAGAACTACATGGCATAACCTTATTAATAACCTTAGGAAAAGATGTTACTACACTAGCAGTCAGCAAGTTTGCAGTCAGGGAACTGCAAATGAAACAGAAAGTATTATTACTGTTTTTCATCTATAAGATGGATAAAGCATTAGTATGTTTGCTATAGTTGAAGACTAACAGGGCTGGTTATGGTGGGAAGCATAGATCAATATAACTACTTGAAAGCATACGTGTGTGGTAATGTTGAATTTTTTTTGAGTCTACAATCTGCAAGGTCTACTTCTAATAACAGATCCTAGAAAAATATTTATATATGGAGAAATGTCCAAAGACATGTTTTGAAAAACTGGAAAGAAACAAATGTTAAATGAAAGAGAATTAGTACAATGAGGTATATTTAGATTCTTGTTGAAGAGAAGGAGTTGGACCTATACTTACCAAATGAGTGGATATCAGAGTCAAGATGTTGAGTTAAATATTTTTTAGATTACTATTGATACCATGCTACCATTATAAAACATAAATGCCTACAAGAACAATTCTATGCATTGCTCATGGGTATAGTATGCATGAGCAAATGTTAAAAATAGATTGAATAGATTTGTTTATTGAAAGTGATAGAATCTAGCAAGCTGGAAATATTTAAAAGGTAGATTTAACTTTATCTCTTACCTAAACCTTTAAAACAAGAATTGGGCAGCATATATCAATTGGAATATATATTCCAAATATATTCCATATATTTGGAATATAAGAAAATGGAGTCTTTATTGTATTATTTTCTGTACTTGCTCGGTTTTTGTGTAGCTACTCTGTTTCACACTGTCATATATGTCTATAGATATATAGATGCAGACATTTAGATGCATGCATCATAATACATACTTTTTACATATTGTTGTTTTAATATGTTTCCTCAAAATAAAAGTGAGATTTTAAATATAAATTGTGAAGTGAAGATATGAGTCATTTTTTAAAAAACTGAGCCAAGACCAGACCAACTGTTAGCCATATTTGTACACAGATATGTTTATAATAAATTGAGCTCAGATATTATAGCACCTATCTTGAAAAGCAATGCTAGATATTATCTACATGTCCTTGTCACACAGTGACACACAATGTTGTCTCTGAAGAATCTGCATATTCTTTATGCCGCTTTCATCTCAGATTCCATTATACTATAAAAAAAGATGTATGTATGCTAAACATTTGGCTGTGATCATGTTAAACTGCCATAAAAGTCCAGGGTAAGGAGAGAACCAGAAAAAATAATAAAGCAGTGGCCATGAACTGCAAGACATAGTTTTTGTAAAGAAATCTTTTGCTTTCAGTACTTCACTGAGTCCTTGGGTGGTGACAGCTGAAAATTTTCCAAGCAATGTGTTAGTCCTCAGGTCAGGGTTGGCCTCACACTCTTTAGGATGACCAAAGCTCCAGGGAGACTCAAGGGAGTCAGAACAGATGTATCTCTATGATGCCAGATGAGCTTGTTCTAGTCTTCCCATGACCAGAGACAAGTCTGAAACATCCTGGGTCATGGAGCCGATCCTCTGTTTCCAAGTACTCTCAGAAAGGCCCCTTTTACATCCTTGTTCCTGAGGCTGTAGATGATGGGGTTGAGGAAGGCAGAGAAGACATTGTAGAACAGAGCCAGCTTCTTGTCCTGCTCTGGGTCATTCCAGGAGCTGGGCCTCATGTACATGACCATGGCTGGACCATAGAACATGATGACCATGGTGATGTGGGAGGCACACGTAGAGAAGGACTTGAGCCTCCCCTGGGATGAGTAAATTCTTAAGATGGAGGCAAATATGCGAACATAGGATGCTAAGATGAGGGAGAGCGGGATCAAAAGCAGGATGAAACCCAACATGAAGTTCAGCCGGTCATTGAGGAATGTGTCCGCACAGGCCAACTTCAGAACAGCAGGGACCTCACAGAAGAAGTGGTTGATTTTGTAGGGTCCACAGTAGGGCAGGTGCATGGTGAAGACAGTATAGATCAGAGCCCCAGTGAGGCTAATGGACCAACAGACAATGACCATCTTGATACAGGTGATACGGCTCATGAGTAGGGAATAGTGAAGGGGGAAGCAAATGGCAATGTACCTGTCATAGGCCATAATGGCATAAAGAATGCACTCAGCAATGCCCAGGACCAAGAAGATGAACATCTGGGCTACACAAGCATTCCAGTAGATGGTTCTCCTTGGATATAACATGTTTACCAACATCTGGGGCACAGTGGTAGTGACGTAGCTCATGTCTACCAAAGAGAGGACACTGAGAAAGAAGTACATGGGTGTGTGGAGGTGTGAGTCAAGGTAGATAAGGGTGATGATGAGCCCATTGCCCACAAGAGTTGTAAAGTAGAGGAGGAGGAAGAAGATGAACAGGGCCATTCTGACCTGTGGCTCACTGGATAAACCAAGGAGGATAAACTCAGAAACTGAAGTGTGGTTTTCCTTGCCAAAGCCTTGCATGGTGATCTGCCTATCAAAGAGAGACAATTACTTTATCGTTCTGTTCTTTGGCTTGGGGAAGTGAGGACAGGATTGATAGAAGCTGAATCACACACAACAGCATGCACAACGATTTGGTCAAATCTTGATTGAGCTAGATGAGAAGGGAAAGGATGCTAGGGTAGCCAGGTCACTGGGCAAGAAGCCAAAAGATCTTTATTTCACCTGTAATAGAACATAGAATGCCCGGTGGTCCACAGGACCTTCTCTGGGAACAGTAATAATCCATAGAAGATAGGCCATGTCTGGGTGTCCTTTCTTTTTAATGTTTTGGGCAGGTTCTCCCTATGCAGTTCAGGCTGGCCTGGAATTCGTGGTGATCCTCCTACCTCAGCCTCCTGAGTGGTGGCATTACAGATGTGCCCCACCAACTCCAGGTTAGGTGACCATCTTTTGCATCAGTGAATTCAGCCACTTTCTTTTTTGTTGTTGTTGTTTTTTTTTCTGGTACCGGGAATTGAACTGACGACCTCACGCTTGCCAGGCAGGTGCTTTGCCGCTGAGCTATACTTTTAAAATTGAATCAGCCACTTTCTGTCCACTTCCTCATTCTACCAGGTATCCAAAGTTGTCCAAATTTGTAGTCAGCAGATGCCTCTGCCTAGAATTCAAACTATGAAAGGAAAACCCATGTCATTAGGCTATGGGTACTTGGGAAACTATCACCCACACCTGGTGTGGTGGCATAGCTGTCACAAGAGAGCTGAAGATCCAGAGGAGGAGACAGTCAGAGGCCTTACAAAAAGGATGAATGACAATGGAAAGAACTTACTTGGGGTTGTACCCAAATACTTACGAAGTACATTAATTTAGAAATTATGATAATTCAGAAATTGATTAGCTAGGCTGTACTGGATATCTCTGAAAGAATTTAAAAATTAGGCAAATTAACTCTAAACACACTACTGGGATGTCTACCAAAGTAAAATACATGCTTTTAGCACATGAGAAAGGACTTTAGGTATTAATAATTGAAGTCATCTTATTATGATCTTGGTATGACAACAATTTATTTATCTAATAAAAATTATGGCCTGGGGGCTGGGGATTTAGCTCAGTGGCAGAAGCGCCTGCCTGGCAAGCGCAAGGTCGTGAGTTCGGTTCCCGGTACCGGAGAAAAACCAAAAAAAAACAAACAAACAAACAAAAAAAAAACCAAAATTATGGCCTGAAATGAGAATGAAAAATAAAGAGAGACAGACAGACAGGTTGGAAAGCAGTGGGGAAAGACTCTGTAGCCCTGAGCACCTGAACCAGGGGCTGGCGGTCCTGGCTTGCCGTGCCAAGACCCTGAGGCCTGTCTGAGCTTGTTTCTTGTACTGAGATTAGTAGAGGACTTTCTGTTGAATTCTTACAGCCACCTGCCAACAAGTTTTTATTTCAGCCTTACCTGAGTATCTCACGGTTGTCACTTACTCAGATGTGACCTTGGGCAAGAGCCTTCACTTCTGTGGACCTCAGCCTCTCCATCTGTTAAAGCAGAGGTGCAACATCGATGACCCGGGGTTATGGCAGGGTAATTATGGGATCCTGCATGTCCAGATAATTTGCAAAATATAAATCACAAGGCATATAAAAGGGGTTAGTAAAAATGCAATGAATCTCAAAATTGGAACAACATGGGGACACTCCTGGCTTTGTCTTTACTGTTTTGTGATCTTGGGAAACTCCATCTCTCTCTGTCTCTGAGCTTCAGAGCCCATTTTGATACTTTGGACTTGATGATCCTAGAGGTCCCTTGTAGCTCTGATATTTTTTTGGTATTAGGCAAACATGCTGGAGACCTATGACCATATCAGTGTTCATCAAGGAAAGGAGAGGAGAGGAGTGTGGTAGCATTCCTGAATTTCTGAGTTTGCAAAGGACAAGGCTAGAAACTTTATCATGAGGGCTGATTGGCCAGAGCTGATGATGGAAGTCTGGAAAGTGTATGAACGGGCAAAGGAAAATGGTGTGAGATGTGTATTTTGAGTTTTAACAAATATCAACAAGGAGCAAAATGTCCCAAGGACATTCGTCCCAAGTGAGGGATGTTTGTGATGATAATTAGGAGCCTGGCCCTGCTCAGAGCCATGGGCATTGAGAGGGAAATTTTCCATAGACAGAGGACTAGGCAGTAGTTCAAAAGCAGTCTTAGACAGTCAGGGATAAAAATCAAGTAGCAGCCTATCACCCTGCCCAGCTACACTCCGTGCTTAGGACCTTTGCAAAGAACTCCTGTCGGCCTCTTGGCTCACCTAAAAGCCCACGCAGTTTCATCTATCACACCCTGTTCCACAACTCCTTGAGGAACTCAAGGCCCATCCTTGACCGGTTCTAATCAGCTTTCTAGATGGCACAAGTGAACTTTCTGTGCTGTGATGCTAACGTAATCCTAGTGTGGGCAGCTGGGTTCTTTCCTCTTGGAGCCTCAGACCTTCCAAACCAGCTGGTTTCCCCATCATCTCCGTGTATGCTCACACCCTTTGCCCTAGCTGCTCCTCTACTGGGTCACCTCCTCCAACCTTGGTGCTTCCTCAGACCCCACTGACCTGTAAGGCTTAACTAAAGGTTTCCTCCTCCTCACCTGACCAGTCCAGCCTTGTTTATGTGTGCTTGTCTTCCAGCCAAAGTGTAGGAAGTGGCTGCCCCTCTTTTGGATTTCTCCACAGTACTTAGCATGTGAAGGCTCTCGTTTGGGGCCTGACAGAACTGTGTTGGTACTTGGAGAAAGATACAGAAGAATGTATCCAACCAGCCTCTAGTAAAGCCTACTTAGTCCTATTCTAGTACTAGTTTCCTCTGCTGTATGACCAAATTTTGCTTTGTCTTTCAGCAAATAAATAAGTGGCAGGATCAGGAGTGAAACCCGGGTTTCTTACTGCTAAGCCTGTGAGGCCTTTAAGCACTGTGTTATATTGACTTTTGCAAAGGCCATGTACAGGAGCAATTACATGAAGCACTCACAGTAGGAAAGCTCTGTATTTATTTCTACTCTGCTTCTTCTGCCTGCCAGTGTTTCCTTGCTGTTTCTCAGCTTCTATGCTTCTGGAAGAGAAAGGGTGCCCTCTCAGGGCTTCCACTGCAAAGCCTCTAGCCGCAGACTGGGAGTTCAGGGTTAGAAGAGATCTACACAGGTGGAGGAAGAGCCATAAGGGAGAGCAGGAGAATGGCTTCTGCCCAGAAAGGGCAGGTTCTTGTACCTCCCACTCCAATTAGGGACACTTTGTCAGTTCTTGGATTCCCAGCGCAGAAAATGCCCCTAGCCTCTCCCTTACACCTACAAATGATCAGCTTATTACCTTGCCCAAGTAATGTCTTCACCTCTATGGTATCAGCCGTCTATTTTCTCTTGGTGCAGTGCACCAGGAAGATGCCCATCCTCCTGGGCACAGTGGCTCTAGAGAGGAGATGTGTACCATGTTAAGGGCGTTGGACCCAGAGAGGCCCTCAAGGGAAGGCAGACTCCAGCAGGCAGACTCAGGAGTTCACTTTATATCAGGATGGAGTTAGAGAATGGATTTCCAGTACCGAAAAAGCCTTGGGGACTCCTTGGCCAGGTTGGGAAATACAAAACAGAGTCCCTGGAAATACAAAACTCCTGACCCTGATGCTCTCCAGCTGCTGCTCCACAGGCTTGGGATTGCTTTAGAAATTGCCCCACCGGGAGACAGTAAGAGGGCTGAACAAAAGCCCACAGCATCTACCCGCTCCTCCACAAGAACCAAAATAGATGAACAACATAGCCTGGGTGTCTAATGCTCTTAAGGCTTTTTAGATGTGGCCTTTGGAGCGGAGGAGCTGGGCATTCTTTGAAAGTTTCCATTTGGGGTTCTAAAATTTCTTTCCATTCGGTCTTAGAGAAGGGAGAGATCCTCTGGCTGAGCTGCCACATCTCTGTTCAACAAGTGATGACGCTAATTAGACACGCTTTGCTTCTTTCTGATGTACGTGTTAGAGCCACTTACATCTTCAGACATCTTATCCAAGGCCACAGACCTAATACAGTGAAATAATGTGTGAATATAGATAAGGGACTAATGCTACATAGGTAGTAATAATGCTACCAGTTCTCTTTTCCTCAGGTACCTATCCAAGACCACATATTATTTTGTGGTGTAAATACTGCCAAAACTTAGTGCCTACTATTCAGTGGAAACTCTGTATCATGTGACACAGAGAATACAAAGGTAGACAGACTGGGATTGGATACAGATTCTACAACTTCCTATCCAAATGATCTTGTGCAAATCACTTCCCCTCCTGGGAAACTCACTTTTCATCACACTTAGAACAGAAAATAATGCTGTTTGTGTTAGGAAGGTGCATGTACGGTCTCAGCACAGCTTAGCACGTAGAAGGGCCCAGCCAATGATAGGTCCTATCGTGACAACAAGAAGTGAGCAGCTCTCATGAGTCCATCCCCTGGTTTGTCTCCAGTGTAATCCCAGCACTCTGGCATGCGGAGGCAGGAAGGTTTCACAGATGAACACAGTCTGAGCGATTTAGTAAGATACTGTTTCAAAACAAACCGAAACAAGAATGAGAACTCACATTTATGGCACCCTTATTATGGGCTGTGTCCTGCACTCAGAGCTTTACATCAGTTAACCCATAACTCCTGACCCTGATGCTCTCCAGCTGCTGCTCCACAGGCTTGGGATTGCTTTAGAAATTGCCCCACTGGGAGACAGTAAGAGGGCTGAACAAAAGCCCACAGCATCTACCCGCTCCTCCACAAGAACCAAAATAGTCAGTGTATAACCGTATCCTGAGGAGAGTGACTGCAGGAGAAGACTGGAATTCAACAGGAGAAGAATAGAAACTTTATAAAACCCATAGACCTGAGACAGCAGCATATAAGGAAAAAGCAAATAGCTCAGCACTTGTAGCCCCGGCTCCACAGAGGTGAGGGAATCTCCTCTCCACAGGGGTGAAAGTGAGGAAGAGGTCCCAGGACACTCTGTCAATGCAGGTTCTAGTGATCCTAGATGTTGGAAAGTTTAGTAAGCTTCACAGGTTTGCAGCCTACACAAAAAAAAACCCTGAACTCTGCACAGTAGCATGGCTTTGGAGAATGAATTCATCTTGAGAACCCCTAGAGTGCTGTAGACAGGAGGCATCATGACAAGGGATCTATTATCTGAATTTAGACTGCTCTGCGGGTCAGAAAGCCCTGCACATTCCCATCCTTGGGACCCACAGACGTCCCGCTGCACTGGGTTAGTGGGTGGCTGCCTCACCATATGCATTTGACTCAGCAGAGTGAGTGACACAAACCCGCAGAGCTGCCTGCACAGTAGGCAGTGGGTGTTGTGACATAGAGGGAATGGAGGCTGTTGTCCTCAATACCACGGTGAGGGATCCAGAAGCATGACCTGACTCCAGGATCAGGGACTAAAATGTGTTGGCCCTTGTTCTTCTCCACCCTTCTCCCAGGGCCATGCATGGATGCCTGTGGTTAACAGAGAGAAAAAAATAAACTTGTATGGTTCCTTTGGCACCCCAGCCACAAAAGGCTTGCTTGTTATGCTGTCTGGTTGATTTCTCTATTGCCTAGGTCTCTCCCTCTGTTCTTAATGGAGAAAGAATTCATACAAGACCCAGCAGTTCCCTATGGATACAATAGCCAGGTGGGGGGCATTGTATTTCTCAACTCTCCAGAATTGCTGGAGAGTACATAGCCTCAGACAGTACATGGCCTCAGTACATAACCTCAGACACAAATGAATTCCAGCTCCCCTGAGGAACAACAGACTTTAAAAGTCTGGATGGGACCAAAGCAAGTAGAAGCCATCCCCACAGAGTCATTGGGCCGTGATGTGTCTGGAGCCCTGGAAAAGATATGTGGATCTGGGTGGTACTGTAGCAGCAAACAAAAACACCAAAACATCACCCAGGATTTGGAGGCAGATTTATTTAACATCGACAGTCCTGACAGGGAGTCAATCCCAAAGTATCAGGCTCTGATCTCTGGTACTCTAAGACTTATATAGGGTTTGCAAGTAAGAAGTACAGAAGCAGAGTATTTGGCAGTTATTGATTGCTTACATCTTAGCTCATTATTACTGATTGTCCTAAAAGAAAACTACATCATATATGTTGCACACTAAGACATGTTCAAACTACGGACAAGCTCGGAGTTACAGAAAGCATACAGGTTCAGAGTGGGGGCAAGCTCAGAGTTGTGGGAAGCAAATGCCTGAGATAATATAGGGGTTTGGGGTATGGTCAATTAGATAAAGAAAATATGTACTTGGCATTCATGGAAGCCAGGAAGACAAATCTGAGCAGGGGAGTGGCTAGTTGCACAGTAGCTCTAAAAAGTTACCTCTCTGTTTTCCTCTCCAGTATAGAACATGAAGTTACAGAGATTTCACATTCTCTGTGAGCTTCCACCTGGCCCTACCACTACCCTTGTGTGGAGTGGCCCTACCCGCTGGACATCCTGTTTTACACTGGAGAAAGCTCATTTGACAGGGCACAAATATTATGCTATAAGCTGTCCCCAAGCTAACAATGCGACTTCTTCACAGAATGACAGTTTACTT